TGCACGATTGTTGTTCGGTTCGAGTAAATTCAAGAATTTGTCGAATGTATGGCAGATTATTTATTGCAACATACTGATATGCAAGATCTTTCATTTATGAATCCGTTTATGAATCTCCCAATTTCAGAATGTGCGAGGAATCTTCCCAAACACTGAAGATAAACATCACGAAACTTATATCTGAAGCTTACCATCTTATCAACAATTTATTGGACAGCGATCAAACTAAACGTTAATGTAACAAATTGTTTAGTGATTTTGTAATTCTTTTGCTAAAAACTCAATGTCTAATAATTTGTCGGTTTGTTTGTAGATTTAGTTTAACTCAAATCCTCAAACATCTAATGTTTTGGGGGTCATGATATGAGAACGTCTTTTCTACAAGATGCTAGTGAGCGCATTAACCACCAGACGAAGAGCATCACAACCTACCAGGCGAACAAATCATTTTTGATTAGGGAAATACTTCAGATCCATGGACTGTGAAACTAGGAGTCTATTTTTCCACTTACATTTTCCAGCCTAATCCAAATCCACAGCAGAAGCCCAAGTACCATTGCTTGTACAATGATAAATCAACTCGCGATTACAGGAAGCTCCCTCTACATATGATGGTATGTCTTCAAACTTTTTACTCTTAAACATTTAAGATGAGTTTAAACTTTTTTTTTAACTTTTGATGTTTTAGTTAAGTCTTGGATTGACTTTCGACCAAAAAAAAAGTTAAGTCTTGGATCAAATCATGATGGAGTTGATGTTTTGTAAAGTGACACTTGAAAAGTGGCATTTTTTGAAAATTTTCTATAAAAATTGACATGTATAAACCTATCAAACAAATTATAATTTACCAAATAACTATATAACGGCAACAACAAAAATTTATAATTTACCAAATAACTATATAAACATGTAGACTATTATATTATTTGTTTAACTTATATTTACCACCAAAACACCCTTTTTCACGCGGTTTATTCCTTTTCTCTCTCTTTCCTTCTTTCTTTCCAAAAATATACCTCTTCCCTCTTTCTCTTTATATACGTCTTGTCTTTTTTTTTTAAACTAAATCTAATTTGAGTTTCTATTGGAAAAAAAAATTATTATTTGTTCAAATCTGGGTATTTAACTTTTTATTTTTAAAAAGAAACCAAAAATATTTAAAAACAAGTTTATAACTAAGTGTCGACGCGTTAATCTATATAAAACATACAAACAAATGCGAGTTCTATATAGCTACAATAAAATATACAATTTTTTAAAAATAATATATATATGATACAACAGAGTTCTATATAGCTACCATAAAATATACAACTTTTTTAACTATCATTTGTTCAATTTGAAATTTATTTGTGTAGTTTTTTTTTTTTTTGGACAACATTATTTGTGGAGTTTAAACTTATGTTTTATGTACTACCGTGTTGGTTTTGATTTTATTTATATTTCCTCTGTAATGAGGTTTTAATTTTACAAGTAGTTGAATAGAGAACGACGCCCAAATTATCATACTCGTTTGTTAGATCGCCAAGGAACAAGTGAAACGCCTCATGGAGAAAGCCATAGCCATCCGGGACGACGATGTAGAGGATTCCAAGGCGGAGGAGGAGGTGAAGATAGAGGATTCCAAGGCCGAGGATGAGGACGAGACAATGTTCCCAAGGCGTAGAGGGAGATTAATCAGGTATATTTAAGGCGGATCCTTCCAAATCGAATTACGGAATTGTTCATCAGATTCAACATAGCAATTGCAGAATCCAATTCATAGCAACATCACTCAGGAGGCTTGTTTGAAAGTTTAGTCACACAGTATAATACCAACAACAATTATCTTTGAATCACAATGTAACCAAAGGATGAAAATTGAGAGCCAAATGCCTCAATCCTAGGTAACAACATTTGCAATGAGTTTCAAATGACGACGATTTGAGAGAGTAAGTAACCAAAGTTGCATAATGAATGAATCTCGGAAAATCTTGATTGGAGGATCTTGGTGGTCTTCGTTTTGTAATCTTACACCACTCCATTGCTTGGCTGGTTCAAAATCAACTTGAGGTTTGCTTTTCTATATGCAAGCCTCTAAAAATATAGTCTCCTCGTGTAAAAGATAAATTCTCCTATCAAACTTCACCGT